AATGGAATGTTCTCCTTTACCTTCAATGTAATGATCTCTTTTTCTTTCTTCCAGTATGCGCAGGAGCGTGAATATGCGGCATAGTTCCCTTCCCAGTTTACACAATGTGGCGGTTGTTTGCAGTTCTCAGACACGTGGCCTAGGACTCCACATTGTGCACAAGTCTGGTGACCACGACAGCTTTTAGAGCCATGGCCTTACCTCTGGCATTGGATACAACGACGAGGGTTTGGTATGTATGGCCTGAGAGAGGTTTTCTTGTACCCTGTTTGAATGGATTCCAGCAGTTTACTGAAAGCAAACATGTGTATTAAGTGTTTCGTTGGTGTTTCCTTGTTATTTCTTCTGATTATAATTCTCTGTGCATTATGCACATTTTGGCTCTTCCACCTTCCAAAAGTTCACTTTCAGTCAGGTCAAGTAAGTCTGCGTCAGATACCACTCCGTGAGTTATGTTCATTGATCGGTGTGGTGTTACGGTGATCGATACGTCACCGAAAGTTGAGAGGCCGTCTAGCTCTTCAAAGTGTTTCTTGTCCCGAATTTTGAAGAGAAGGTCTCCGCTTGCCATTTTAGTTAACTTGCATCCAGCCCCGAGAGTTTCAGTAAGACACCTGGCAACTACGAAAGGAGATACGATCCTGGCTTGCTTTCCAGTTTTCTCACAGTGAATGACGTGGAGGTGTGGAAATGTTTTTATTGGCTGGTTGAAAACATTTATGCCATCGGTGCGTACCCGCTATAAGCTGGTACGATCAGTAAGTAGGGGGCATGCTCTATGCATGCCGGTCTTATTTTTATTCAGCAGCATTGGCGGCCACCCACCACGGAGCCCAACAAGGGGACGCTGCAAGTTTGCGGATGCTGAAAGCTTGCAGACATCAGCCATACAACACTGACATAAGCCAATGCGCCTAGACCAAGGTAGGCTATTTGCACAGGGTTAACCCTTGCTGCCAGGAAAATTGGAAGTAAACAGAAGAGAGAAGTAGACAGGACAGACTTAAAGTGAGAGATAAAGACGAAGTTGTAGGGGGAGAGATATAGGAAAAGGCGACTGCCAATTTTCTTTGGGTGGGTCAGCCCAGGGGTGCCGTCTGTGTGGAGCTGGGGCCAAAGAAGTGTGTTGCCTCTGCCAGGGGGGGGGGGGCTAACAGGTCTGATCACCTGGCGTCAACTCAACCCCCAGGATCCCCTTTTCCCCGGACACGGCTCAGCCACGCATGGCTAGGCGCGGTAGAAGTCGAAGCCCCCCGTTAGCTCGGGTCCGTGGTGTCGCTACACACCAAACCCTTGCTTGGCCAGACCCCCCTGCGGGGAAGACTGAGAAAGTAGCTACGGTGAAAGAGGCTAGGGCAGCTCGAAATGCTTTAAGGAGTAACCGCTTTCAGGAGAAAGAGGCTATGGATGAAGTTACAGCAGCAGCCTAGCGAAAGCCACATTCGGCCCTAATGTGACGCAAGCATTCTGGGAATGCAGAATTGGTGGAGAAAGAGGCCACAGCCGCAACAGCAAACAAAGAGAAAGTTAACAGAATATCATAGAAGGTGCAACTAGGCTTTTGACCTCACATTCTTCTGAGCATCCCCTGTAATTTTGTTATCTTGAGAGTGATCTGCAGAGCGGCGAAGGCTTAAAACTTCATGTACAATGTGTTCTTGCCACTCAGGTCATGTTCAAATGAGTGCCAACATTTGTACTGGCACTCGCTTGTTGGAAGGCTAGCATTTCAGTGTTGAAAAGTTAGATCTGGTATGGTCAAGTGCAGTGGTTCTGCTGTAAGTCCTTGAACACACGGAAACAGTGTTCCAATTGCATCTCAGTGATGTTCAAGCATGCAGTGGCTTTGCTAGAAGTTCACGCACACATGCCGGCAGTGTTCATTTATTACGGTACATTGATGACATCCTGTAGACCTTATGCAAAATTACTGCCATGTGTCAGAGATTTGAAGAAACTATCAATGTGGTTCCATGTTGTAGGCTTCTGTCTGAATCATATCTCTGTTGTTGCTAGAACTGTTCGCTTCAGTAGATGCTTTGATCGTGATCGATTGGCACATAAAAAATGTCACATGAGTGAGTAAGCACTTATCTGCATTACCAGCATTTCCTAGTGACTTGATCAACAGTTAGTAATAAACTACCCCACAACAACAAAAATAGAGCAGCTGGGTTATAAGTCATTAATGAGCCTGTTATCATTGAGAATGAGGCAGTGCAGAAGGCATTAAACCAGAATTTTCGGCTTTTTATTGTGACGACAAAGCCATTTTTAGCTATATGAACATCCTAGGTAACATGTTGAATGGTTGTGAAGGAGCTATAGCTTGTGACATAACAATGCACAGCGACTCAATGCATAGCGACTCTCAAAACTACTACTTCAGGAACAGCCGACTTCTGGCCTTGCTGATACGATATATCGCAAGAGCTTAGCACAGACACTTATGAAGACAGGATAAAACAAATGAGGACACACACAGGTGCTAACTTTGAACAGTGATGTTGAAAGTTAGTACCTGAGTGTGTTCTCCTTCATGTCTTCCAGTCTTCATAGGTACCTGCACTAAACTCTTAGGATAAGCCTGATACTCTGCTCTTGTAGTCAGCATTAACATAAATTAGTAATAGTATATACAGTTGCACTCTGCTACAACGAACGCCACTTCAATGAAATTTCTGCAATAACAAAAAATTCATGGTTCCCCGTCAGCAGTCCATAGGAGTCAATGCATAAATATTGTCGCCACAACGAACCCTTTTTCTTCTGCCGTCCCACTTCAAAGAAATTTCACAATACAATTCCAGGCTCAGATATTTATTGGTATACAGGAAACCCAATCTTAACACTTTCATGCATTTTGAGAACCTGAAAATACGTCGACAAAATCTAAAACACGTGTTAGCGCCACCAGAAACCACCGCTGTTCAGCAAGCATGGACACCGCCATTGCTCGATAGCGATGGCAATGAGACTGCCCTGCTCATGAAGGATGGCTCTGCGTTTGCCACTGGCTTGCTTTCAAGCTGCAGACGATCGGAAGCTGAAGCTCAGTTGCTCAGTTCATGGTTTCCTTCACGCAGCTGCTGCATGCAACCGCAGAGCAACGCCTTTTCCGATTCCAATGCTTATCATTTTATTCGCGCTTGGCCAGTGTGGTACCTAATCAAAGCGGCCGCTCGTCCGCATTATCAACCAAATAAGCCAGCCGTGAGATTTGGATAATAAGAATGGCATATAATAAGGCAAAAGTCACCGCTCCACGATACCATGCCTCTATCTCGGCGTTGTCGAATACACTTTGACGGCAGACGGCTTCTGGTGTTAACGTGTAATGCAACTGTTTGGTACGTTTACGAATGTGGTTGTAGGAATTATTTCAGCAGTTTTCACCATGGCCTCGCTATGCATGACTGTGAATCGCGTCATGACGTTGGTGGGAAAGAATAAAAAGCAGCGGACACTTTTTTAATTTTAAGAACAAATGTTCGTTTGTTTAGCTAGCTCAGATCAGCTATATTTTTTCGATTTTACTACAACGAAATTCTTGCTTTAACGAAATATTTTCCACACCCCGTGAGTTTCGTTGTAGCGGGGTTCAACTGTATATTTATAAACTGATTGCTGTGCATATAAAATGTCAAAAATAAAATGTCAAACGCCCAAGAAAAGTGAACACAAAATGTGTTCGTTGCTCCAAGAAGTAGGTGTAAACTTATGGTAATGAAATGTTAGTATACTTTATACATATACTGGTGAATAACATGATAGGCCAATGAATTTCATGTTTTGCCAATATCAGTTCTGCTGAAGCCCGCAAGGTGGTGGAAGAGTTAAGAAAGGAAAAAAAGACAACTACTCATTTGGAACACGACACCACAAGGAAATCCATACGGATTTCTCAGAATGAAAAGCTTTTTAGTTGCCAAAAATTCGTCCTGATCCTGAACCAGGACGAATTTTTCGGCGACTAAGCAGCTTTTCTTTCCAAGAAATTTGTAAGGGTTTTAAGGTGGCTTCGTGCTACAAACAAGTTCTTCTTTCCCTTTCTTAAAATTTATGTTTCCGAACCACTTTCAAGGCCTTCAGAATCTCACTATGTAAACCTGTAACGGCGAGACAATTTTAAACCCCAACAAAAGCTTGAAAAATTACCTCAGTGCAAGCAACAGTAAATAGCCAACGCCGAATGTAATACATTTCACAGAAGCTATTCGATTCGTATTCACTTTCAGAACTCACCAATCAATGCAGTAGAATATTACTGGTGTTTAGAGGCAGACAGAACAATGTATATGAGGTCTGTTTCAAACAATTATTCTGTAAGATAGCTGTGGTTGCTGTGAAAGGGCCGTTGTTCCATAACTAATGCAAGGGACATGGAACTGCTATTTTACAATTTCCACTCATTGAATAATAATTACTTGTTTTTAGCAATATGGTGCATACATGAATTACTAACCATTTGTTATTTGACCAGACCCCCCCCCCCCCCCCCCTGTTATTATTCCTTTAAAACAACATGATGTGCTTTGGAGTCGTGCTTCTCTCCTTCAGCAAAACAAACACCATATGCACATCAGGTAGCATGTTTTAATAGTTCCATTGCTACTTCTGCGATTTCAATGAATCATTAAATAATTCAAAACACTTGTTAAACAATGGCTACCTCCACAGTTACGTGGGTGTCTTACTGTGAAAGACATTTTACATGCATGTGTTCATGTATACACTATATGCTCATGGATAGTAGGATTTTATGCATAGGCCAGATTTATTCTTACATGAAACAGGCATCACGCAAGCTTTGAACACTGTCATTAAAAGTGCACAAATGTATTGTATTCAATTTAATCTACAAAGGTCTGTTTTTTTGCATAGTGTATTGGTATTTGACTTTTTTTTACCTCATTGCTATTGGAATATTCACCAAAATAGCCTAAATTAGATTTGGTTCAAAATAAAGTTACACAATTTATTTTTCAAATGCAACTTACATGTATCCATCCAATCGTGTCAAGGCCCAGCTCATCCTGAAACCCGATCACTAATTCTTCACTTTCCGTGCAGCAGTCATCGGCAGTTCCAGACTGCCTTGGTACCAAAAGGTGGCTGATGCTCAGCTGATTCTTTGCCTGCAGTTAAGCACGTAACACATCCCTTTCAGCTACATCACTCACTAGAGGTCAATTAGGCTGAATTCTGCCCAAACAGAAGTACAATATCAAAGATTTCTTTAACAATGTTGTTGAGAACACTACAGCATTATTTTTCATTTCCCTTCAAAGTACATGTAGTGCAATTATTGATGCCATGGTCGTTCACCAAAAGACATGCACATTAAATCCCTTAAGGAGCCATGAAATTCCGTCTGTTAGTTCTAAATAATATATTATCTAACAAAGAAAATGAGCCCTTAAATTTACACTTCCTTATACAAGCGTTTCCTACACAGACAACCCAGACAAATAACATACACAAAAAATAATAAGAGAGTCTGCAAGTAAAGTTTCTTGGCAAGAAATGAAAGATGTGATGGCAAAACATGGTTGCCAGAAACAAATATTATAGTGCATCCAATGTGGCTAGTCCCAATGGACCGTAAACTTACACTACATTGTTTCAAAAACAGCAGACATTAACAATTTTTCAATATTTGAACTGATTTAACACTATAGCATTCACTCACCTCACCTAAACCTGCTATTTCAAACTTAGCGCAAAACTCCAGCAGTCTCATAAAAAATCTTTCAACATAACAGTGCACAGTAAAGCATTGAAGTCTGTTTATTTCAAGTACTCTAAGCTCTTCGGAGCTTCCAAATGTTGCTTTGATATCCACCTTGGTATTTCACATTACTCCACATGCACGTGCTAAGCAAACCCTGGTAAACCCAAGTGTTAGAAATGGCTTCCTCCTGCCACCGCTGCACATTCTCATCACTGTGCACTGGTGCACTATCATGTTATGTATGCATAGTTCTCTTTTATGAATAAATATAGAATTACAAACTATTCTTCCAAAGTCTTCTAGTATGAAACGGCTGTAACAATGTCATTAAAAAGAATGGCCACATTCCACACCAAGAGACCAAGCCTTTAAAATGGATCAGACAGATTGTGAAGTCCAGCTTAGCCTTAGACCACAATCTGGTATCTGTGCTACACTACTACATAAGCAAAATACAACCTTGGTACAGAACAGCAAATAGCTGAAGTGTCCCATATTATCACGTCTTTTTGCCTTTTCCTAGTTTGCATGACAGGTTTTGACATTGATAGGGAGTTCATGAAGTCCCCACAGCCTATAGAGACGATTCCCCTTTTTGCCTATTCACGGCAGTAACAAGATATTATGGAGATTCAAAATAAAGGCAACTTCAATAGAATCTGCCAAGCTTCAGCAATTCTTTTCATAGCAACGATATTTGCACACTCAACATGCTGCCACTTTATTCAAAACGTAGTCTTACACAGCAGCACAAAGTAGCAAAAAGGAGGCAACCAGCGAAACTACTTTAGGTTTACCTTGGTTGTCTCAACACTACCCAGAGAAGCCAAGGGAAAGCCACCACCCTCTTTTTACAGAAAAATATGTCATAACAAAAGCTCAGAAAAAATGCACTCAAACAAAAAATTGGCCGGAATCTGCATGTTACACTGCAAATGTCGAAAGACGATAGTCTTGCATTTGGAGAGGGTGAACAAAACGTCTATTTGATGTTCTGCGCAATAAAATCAGCGAATAGTATTCTGGAGGCGCTGCGTCAGAGTGCCTCGAGCATGTAGCGAAGGCGAACGAGCGCATCGAGGCACATTAGACACGAGCGTCACCTGGCAGTTATCTTCGAAAACAAAGGCGTGCGCGCCCATGGCGAAAGATGCGCGCCAGTCTCGGAGGTGATAAGATGCAGAACGCAAACCGACGGGCAGGTGCCACCACCGTGACGTCGTAGCAAAGCGTTGGAAACACTTACCTTTTTAAGCATTACGTTGCACTGTCAGCGCAGCGTGATAAACACTACAGTCCTTAGAGTTACTTGTGTGTGCCGCTTCTAGTATAAAGGCAGACATACGAAACATTGACGTGCTGTTATGGCGCCTCAGATATGTGCTATAATTGCTTTTTAATGGACAATCGCACAACTATGAACGCTAAACCTTGAGCATTGTTGGTGGGCGCTGCGGATGGGCTTGGCCGTTTGGTGCCGTTTGAAGTATCGTTAAGGGTGGACAAACAGACAAATGTACAGACAGTCAGACAGAAAGACAGACCAAAAACTTTTCCGTCGAAGGTCCCCAAGAAAGACTATCATCTTTAAAACAACTGTCTCAACAAGTTTTAACTGAACGCATCAGTCAACATGCCCAGTGAAAGTACAGAATGTTTCTACTTCGGCAGGCTTGCAAACGTTGCAGCCGTTGTCATAATGCTTTAAAACATTCGCATTGTGGTAGGAATACCTGCCCATTCTTGCAGAATTCTAGCAACAGAGCATACCAATAACCAACAGTGCATAGTCCGCCAATATTGAAGTTTCCAATTCGGCAAATTACCAGTGTCAAGGAAACATTGTACAGATCAAACACAAAACAAGCAAGGAGATGAGGGCATAGGAGCTTTAACATTGGTGCCAGTGTCACAGCACAGCTCGTGAAATAGAACTTTCAGAAAAAACATTTTTTTTGTCAATTCAAAATTGGAATTCCAAATTGGAGCACTGACATTTTCAATTTATATCTTGCATTTCTATAATATTCTTACCAGTACCACATTTTGAAGAGTTGCTGTTTACAAGCACTTGGAAATGTCTTGGCACATGATACTTACTAACTTTCCTGCCATAATAGCACACGTCTCAATATTCTTCTCAGTATTTTGTCGAGCAATGTGAAGAAACTTGGAGACAAGGCTTCCTGGCAAAACAACAGTTCGTAGCCCCTGGGCCGTAGAATAGTAGGGCTCTGTACTGAGCAACGGCAACGGCTTCGTGCTCCGATCCACGGCTGGAATTGCCCTCCTTACCACACTAGACAAAAGGACACAAAAGTAGAATTGTGGTTGCACTTACTTTCACAATGAAAATTAATATTGCAGATAGTTACCATTCTATCATTTCTACTACAAATACTAGCTTCCACAATAGCATATACAGTCGATCTAAAATATATCGAACTCTCATATATAGAATCATTGGCTATATCAAACAGTTGAGAAATCCCCTGGAATTTCTCATGCAAAAGTATGAAATCAGTGCACCCGTATATCAAACTCCCACACAGCGGGACATCCGCTATATCGAACTCTGCTCCACGCCAAAACCCAAAAAGTGCATCCTTCCTAGCAAATATTTATCTCAAATATTTATCAAGTATTTATCAAATATTTATATTTATCTTCTACCGCGTTCTAACAAGTTTCGATCCCTTTTCGCGCGTTGGTGACGAAAAGGTGGTGTTATAAAATTGCTCTGATCAGGTTGGTTGCGCGGCACTTTGAGTGCACCGGTATGTTTCATGCCCGATCTGCAGGTCTGAACACGCGGGCGTAGTGTTTTTCGAAAAGACCGATCGCTGGTGTCACCAAAATGAGAATGCAAAGTGACTCAGCGATCTTGTTGCAATATTAGCGTTCCCTTCCTTTTTGTTAGCACACAGTGGCATGCGATGGGCATGCGAGCCTGAAAAGCATGACCTTCGAGATGTGCAACCTCGCGACGTATTGTTTTTTGTATTCTCGGTTTTAAAATGCATGTCTCGGAGGCTACGCCTTTTATACTTTTTGTATCAAAGCAGCTGAAAGCAGCGGCTGCCAACTACAAAGCCACAAGTATAGTTCACTATAGCCACAGGTGAGATTGATCTAAGAATGACAAACTGGGCTTGTTGGTTTGATATATTTGAAGTTTAAGGCGCGCATACGACTTGGACGAAGGTAAGGTACACATACAAATGGTACTCCAAGTGTGTACCTTATTTTCATCCGTGTCATATTCGCGCCTTAAACTTCACGTAAGTGACATCGATATCGCCAGCATGTCAATGATGGGAACTCGTTGTTGTCTCTTGCGCCTTATGGACTTGTGTACTTCTTGCCTCGTTCCTAATAAATCCTCATTCGTGAGTTGAACAGAATGATGACCTGCACGTAGCGATAAAAATCACGACTGGCGCTTGGAGAAACATCAAGTAAAGCCCCGTCGTAAACTTTCCCTATGGGCCAGGTAATGATTGCGGTTGCGTCATGACGACTGACAACGACGTGCAGTACCCGTGAATTCTACGACTCACCAGTGTTTCCGGGCCCCATCTCAGACAGTGAGCAATTCATCGGTGAAGATGACAACATAGCTCTTTCTAACTGCATCGATTCTGAGATCATGGTTGCCGCTGCTGCAGAAGTGTACCCGTATGGTTATGAATATGCCACCGCCTTTGCTGAAGCCGCTAACCAACCTTTTGCTGCGTTATTGTCAACGAAGAGGCTAAACTCACTCATTTGAAAAGCTTTAGTGATATTGAGGATGACTGGAACTTGACGGCGCACGAGAAGCAAGAATACTTTCGAGTGATCATCTTTCGAACTATTTTGCGATCCCCTTCGAGTTTAATATATACGGGATCGACTGTACATAAAATTTGTTAGGCACTAAATACAAGTTTAGTGCAAAGCTCACAGTGTATGTGGTGAGAGCTGATCACAGCACACATGCTAGCCGCTTCAATCCTAATTCGTCTGTCATATTTTCCCTCCATTGCCACAGGAAGAAATAAATAAATGGCAAAATCGTCTACTACGTAGTCTCATCTAAGGTTAGAGGTAAAAAAAACAATATCTTGTGGCCCATTAGACAGCGGGATCGATTCCTTTGAACACACGTATTAATGTGACAGAAGTAATTTCTCACTTTTCAAAGCATATTATAGAGCAGAAAAAATTGATAATTTACAGAAGCTATTAGTGTTTTAGGAGCAGATTGCAAAATACACCAATATTTCAGAATTAGGTTAATTTGCACATTCTACTTGGTCCCTTGACATCTGAATTAATGAGCTTTTAGTGTAGTTGCGTTAAAAATGTCAGTAACTGAGACAGTGTCGCCTCACCAGAAGCCTTGAAAGCAAGAACTAAGAACTAGCAAGAACACACACACAAAAGCTGGACTGCAAACCTGTAAGACACCATTAAAAATGGTTAGCAAAGCCATATAAGAAAACAACAGTTCTGTACTGAGAAGCATGGCTGAATTCAAGGGAATATGTTCTTTGTGAAGCAGGACAAGGTGTTTCTTCCATATTACTTCTGCTCCAGCTCCTCCACCAATTTGTGGAGGACGATTATCTTCTTACATCTACCACAGATGAAAGAATCATTTCCACTTTAATGGTGAATGAATTTGCCACGTTCGAAGTGGCGAGCAAAAGCTGCACCAGGGCACTCCACCCCGGTACAAGGCAACTGAATGAAATCTGCCAATGAAACACAGGCGATCCCGCCAGAGCAAATGACAGGACGTGCTAGCGCACATCTGCTTCAGGAAGCACCCAGCCTTCCTTGCGTTTCACGCAGTTTTCACCTTCGCAGGCCATGTTCATAGAGAACGGGGATGCTCTGGCAGTGAATTTCGTCAGTCACATGGCACGCCACGTTCTGCATGCACGCGGGGCGCTTTTCGGTCATATCCCTCAGTTTTCATGGAGTATATCTGGCGGCAGAGCTGCTCCGGATATGCCAATAAAACGTACAAGGTGCACTCTCGATCTGCTAATGGAACAGGCTTGCTCCACATGGGGCAGCAAAACTGCAACCATAAGTGCTCCGAACCTGCCAATGATATCCACCATAAAGGTATTAATGGGTACCGTACCTGGACCTTCTTCCCAGCTGGCATAATTCTATCAGAGTAGTGCTGATCCTCCGACTTACTACAGCAGCAACACATGAGTCTACATCATCAAAGCTGTGCGCACCAGCGCACTTGTACCGGGACATCTTCCTCCTTTCCGATAAATTAGCAAAATGTAATACAGCAGAAATGAAAGCACAACACTCCATACTGGTTATTACAAAGGTATGAGCACAAGGTTAAAGAGACATTACTCACTCCACAGGTGCCGAGGGAAAAGCAGAAGGTTTTGAAGCCCTAGGAGGAATGTCTGGCACTTCAATGTCGCTCAGAGTTGGGAAAGGAGGCGTCTTGGGCCGAGGAGTGCCACAAACACCATTCTCCATCTCAAGGAGCACTGGGTAAACATTAGAAGGAGATATACCACCAGGCGGGGGCAGCTGAATCTCTGGCCTCTTAGGCTGGGCCATCTTTGCCTGTTGTTGTCGTTGCTGCAACGCGAATTGTTCATGTTGTTCATACATAAGCTGGTCCAGCTGCTCTTTCTGTCTACGCTCTTCCTCAAGTGCTGCTTCGGCATCTGCTTTTTCCTGTAAATCGAAAATGCAGATGCACACAAATTCATTAGACCACATCTCATTACCAGTATACTTATGTGATGCAGCTAAAAGTAGTAGTAGTGCAGTGGCACAGCCTGCCTTTCTAAATAACAAAGGGGCACACAGGAATGCAACAGCCAAAATAGAATTTGGAGCAATTTTCGGAGCAGCAGAATCTTACTTTTGGAGCACTAAAATGTGGATTTGGAGCAGGTTACGCAAAATAAAACATTTTATATCAGGAAATACCTAATTTTCAGCAAAGAAAGCTTACATTTAGAAAAACAAAGTATGTGCAAGCCATTCAACATCACCTAAATCATATGGGGGGGGGGGGCAGAAGTGTCATGCTCACAATTATGCTGCAGTATACACGCATGAGTAATTAAACCAAATTTGCTGCTGTTACTAGTGCAGTCCAAATCATAATACGCTTTTCCGTGGGGCACCAGTATATTGCGGCAAAGGTGGTTTAAGTAGCGTTCTGTGCGGGTTAGAGAAAGGACAAGAAATTTTCGAACACCCCTACGCCGCCTTTCCCCCCCCCCCCTTTTTTTATGATGGCGTTAGGTTTACAGCACAACATCTGGGCTCACCTACAACACATTCTACTAAATAAAATAACAGCGGCGCAGCCGATTGGTATGGAAGCAGCACCAGATATCTATCGTCGGGACGACGCAACTAACGCAACTTCAAGACAGAAAAATGTTTTATGTACCGTTGCTACGGTGACCATTGTAGCCCGGAGTTCGCAGCATGTTGACATCGTCCGAGCGCCGAAAATTTGGTATGCGCCCCCAGCTTTAGTTGCTAACATGCCATAGCCGCTTTTACTGACTAGGAAGTTCATATTTCTCGCAAAGCGTTCATGGCTAGGACAACACGTTTTTGTCGTAAAGTTGCGTCGTCCCGCCAAAAGGTATTCTTTGCAGTCAGCGGACCGATGGGCGCACGGCTTTGTTACTTAATCTGGTCAACCATGTCTCGCGACTGCTCTGACCTAATGGTATTAAGGTTAGCATGGCAAGGTTACCATCGTTTAAGGTTAAAGTCTGCGCGCTTGTATTTATTGATGACTCAAAATGCATGTGGGCAACATGGCCTCCATTTATCGCTGAAATTAGTGCAACTGAGAAAATTTTGAGGCTGGTCGGACATTTTGGCACAGCGTGGCGCAAAATGGAAAATTGTATCAAATTGGCGCTATTGGCGCAGCTGTTGCATCCCTGAGCCTAAGTGGGGCAACTGAAGAACAAATAATCAACTGCCACTTGTGCCAACGTTTTCCTAGAGCAAACCCCTAAGCTGACCTTAAGTACCCTTTTACATTTATCACAGCTGTTTGGGCCTCAAGGTGTGGTGCCGGCAGGTATGGGTAGCCCCCCTCCAAGCAAGACAAGAACTTCAACTGCTCTAGGGGAATATTTGACAACTATTTTGCGATCACTTTTACACGCTCAAGCCTGCTAGCACAGTGGTTCTGCATGCTTCAGTATGCTGCCCTGCTGCAATTGTAGTTGTGAAAACAGGCACAACTGCAGAGAGAAACTGATATCAATACTAGGCTTGTGTGAGCATCACAGCATTCAAATTCTCTTTGTTTCAAATTTAAAACATAGCAAATTTCTGTGTTCAAAATGACCGAATCAAAACATATTAGGCCACAGGTAACCCCTGTAAAGGTCGTTTCACTGCAGTGGAAAGGTGCTAAGCTAAGAAAACACCTACTTAAATGTATATTGATTTGCATATAACTTTCTGTTAAAGCGGTTTCACTGCAGTGAAGAAATGCTAAATCGTAAAAACATTTATTTATTGAAAATCCATATTGCCACAAAGCGCCCCTTCAAGGTGAAATGAACAGACTACCCTCACACCGATTCATCCTTTTCCAAGTTTAAAAGCTTGTTGTACCAGCTTATATGCTCTTCGTAAATTTTAAAACGACATAATTTACAGGTTATCCCATGCATTCAACTGAAAGTTAAATTCAGCTACTATTCAAAGTTGTTTCCACTTCCTTGGAACCAAAAAGAATAGCATTTACATGGGCCTTGTTTCAGTTCTTAAAAAAATATTGTGCTGACTAGTTGGATCATGACAATAAGCCCACTTTTCTTTATATGTGTTACATATTATTCAAACTTGATTTGAAATTGTTAGAAAAAAATTAATATTTCCTTAGAATTCACTTCAAACTTGAAATCACCTATTCGCACAAGCCTAATCAATACCACTGGAAAAAGCCATAGCTTCCTGGTCGACACCCTAATAGCACTGCTGCAGCTGTTAGGCAAGGAGGCAGAGGCAAACAAGATGAAGTTGGCACTATTACGTGTTTTTCAGGTGCTAGTTTTTGTGTGTGTGCATGTGCATAGAAAGCACTGAAAGCCATGAAAGAATGAGCTAGTACAAATGCTTCATTCAGCAGCTGTGCAGCCTATGCTATGTTCATGCTCTGTAAAGACAAGTGCATCCCTCAGGGAACAGGAAAAAAAAACCTGCCTCTGGAAGAATAAAAATATAAATGTAATTTTGGTCTTGGCAAACTGCTGTGTGTTGCAGTGAAGACCACTCGTGCAGTAAAGTAGAGAATGCAGCCTTGTAGGTGGGCCTTACAAACATCAGGTAATACGAACCTTAATAGCACTGTCGTCAATGTGTCAAGATTATGCTAGTGAGTGATTTTTAGTATTCAAGTGAATTCAAAACAAATAGTTATTTTCGTCAAATAATTTTAAATCAAATTTGAGTAGTACGTGTCACATATTATAAAGAAAAATGGGCATACTAGCCATGACCTCACCAGCCTGCACAATATTTTTTTTACTTAGGACAAGGCCTGTGCAAATGCTTTGCAATTTTATCTTTGTTCAAAGAAAGTGAAAACCACTTTGAATATTAGCAGGATATGACATTCAACAGAATCCAAGTCATAAACAGTAAAATAAAGCGTTTTAAAATTTACCACATGTGGAGCATATAAGCTAGTATATAAAGCTTTTAAAAAACACAGAAAATTATGAGTTGATGTGAGGGCAACATGTACGTTCAACCTTTACTGAGGCTTTATGGCAGTGCAAATTTCCCCTGGATATGTGTTTTCACGGCTTAGCATTCCTTCATTGTAATGAAGCCACCTTTACAGGGGTGTCGCATGTGGATCATTATACATTTAGTTGTTCATTTCGAATAGCGTACTTACTCACATAATCTGCGCACTCTTTTTCTAAAAAAATCGGAGCAAAGTTGGGAGTGCTTTCATCACGTGGGGCAAACTTTATGAAAGCTTTTTCGGGATGAGCCAGAAAATGCAGTAATGAAGAAAAAAAATGTTTGGTCGCTTAGCCTTTTTGCAATTGACATATGAGTAGTGTTTGGAAACAGCTTCTTTGTTGCACTTCACACGTTTTCGCTGATTGAAGCTGTATCTTCTGCAAGCCGTCCCTGCGCCATCCGCAAACTCCATAAAAGTATTTCACTGCTTTCTTTTCTTGCAATCATTAAACCAAAATAGTGGTATCTGCTGTGACGTTGAGGGGCGCCCAAAAGCGTTCACTACAACGCTGCGAAGCACTTTACCAACTTCATGGCAATGTCGCACGACAACCGCAATGATGCCGTTGGCATTGCAACAAGTAACCAACACTACAGCAAGCTACCACCAAAGCGTCAAAACAAACCGCCAATAACAAGATTACAGACAAAGTACGGTCACCGCCTCTCTGCCCACATGAGAAGTTACTGTAGAAAACGTAACCTATATCTTGCGTTCCTTGGAGTACACATGGATAACAAGTATGAAAAGCAAATCACAACCGAAGTGAGAATCAGGGGTGCTAACATGTTGCGGAAATTGTGACGCTCTCAAGTGCCAGGTGTCGGAGAATCAGGGGTGCTAACATGTTGCGAAAATTGTGACGCTCTCAGGTGCCAGGTGTTGGTTCACGGGACTGCAGTGGATGAATGTAGGGGGTGCATTTATTGTGCAGGAGAAAAAAATCTAAATTTTGACTGAAGTTGAGGGTGCATTTATTATGCGAGTGCATTCATTATGCAAGTAAATATGGCAGTTCAAAATTTATAAACATTTAAATTCAGATCAAAGCGAATTCGAACACTATATTATTTGTTTAAATATTAGAAGCATTCGAATATCCACACAAGCCAAGTCACGGTTGACTCTGCACAATGGTATCAATGATAATGGGCCCGCTCACAATACGGCTTTTGACACCAAACTAGTTCCCACCACATGACCTCTATCGCGTAAACAGCTTCGTTGGTCATCCACCTTCACAAAGTTGAGAGGCTCAATTTTGGGTGATATCTACCCAGCCATCCTCCAGACAATAGCATATGTATACAACATTGACAAGTTCCTTAGCCTAGAGGTAGCATCCCAAATAAAACGATGTACCGGTTAGTCAAAATAGCTACTGCTGTGAGCCATACCACAACCAAACGAAAAAAAAAATTACTACAGCATTCGCAGTCACACAAAAACACAATTTAGAAGTGAAAATGGGCCTTTCTAGCATTAAGTGCTGCATGAGTAGAACAGTGCACAGGGGACAGAAGAATCCTCCTTAATAATAATTCGGTCCTTCAGTAAAAATAACTTGCCTTGTTTCTGAGTAAAATATTGTACTCTTCGGTGTACTTTTCAAAGATCTGAGCTCTCAAATATTCGGCAATAGGAAAAACTTCATTCAATTTCTGCAAAACAACAATAGGAAAGCATGGAAACTAGTGAACATCTCTGGCCTGTATTGTACACTTATAATAACATCAGAATGAGTAACACTTGGCCAGTACTGCACAGCGACACCCCAAAAAAATATATTTTTAAGAGAGCCCTGCATAGCTTTCGGTACACTTCCCAGTACAAAAAAAAGAAAGCACTTGAAGCATGCAATAAATCCCGTAACTCTGCTCTGTTAACGGATTAAAAAAAAAGTTTTTGGCAGTCGATTTGTGAGGCAACAAGCTCTTTCTATGAAGCCATTCGATGATTACTCGCAAAAGTTTTGAAGTGCCTTTTCAAGTGAAGTTTCTGATCCCTCAACATCAACGACCATGCTGCTGCCTTGTCAATAAGCTCACACGTTAAAAAAAAACTGGACTTTCACACCTTGTGGGGGGAACTAACTTTTTACCAATACTCTATTCCACCACAGACATACAGATACTTCTACTGTAGAAACACTGCATAGCTGTTCAAGATTACTGCTGCATGTAAACCTTGCATATGGCATGTGTGCGCAAGGGCGTGTTCATGCACTTTCCTAGGCGTCAGTCAGCAAAATTATGAAATATTGGGCTGGCTCAAAAGTCCTGACATTTTTTAAGCAGAAGACTTGTGCAAATAAGAAAATGCATATTATGCTATACATTACTATTTTTTAGAGTATATAATAATCTAGTGGGCTTAATTTTCAATGCTGATCTCCTTTTCCTTCTCTTCAGGTCACCGAAGGGTTTCTGTAACAACCTTTGCACTTGTTGAAAGACACAGTAAAGGGGCCCTTGAAAACTTTTTAAGCATGGTCAGAAAATGCTGCTGGTCGGTAGTTGAGACTCCCCAAAACACGCAAGCCAAATATTATGGCACAGCATGTGGCATGGAATTTAAAATAAATTCTGACAGTAAGCTAAAAATTGTTTTGACTTCTTTTGACAAATGATGATATGCACTTAAAAATCATTGAATCACAGGCCCAAGTATCACACCATTGGCTGATTTCAGCATGGCACCCTCTGGGCATGCTGAGCGTGCAGTGGGACTGTGAAGGTGTGAAGCACTATGAATTGCTGAATCGATACCATACAATTATTGCCTAACTTTACACGCAAAAAATGCAACAACTCGGCAACCTGTTCTAGCAGTATGACTTGATCAGAACATGGCATTCTTCAGCAACACAATACCCACACTCATATCACCAATATGACCAAAGAAGCCATTCAAACCCTTGTCTGAGAAAGTGCTGCCACATGCTCCATGTTCTACCTAATATCTAGGGTTGAGCGTCACGAAATGATACGATTATGAGAGACGCCGCAATAGAGGGCTCCAGAAATTTCGACCACTTGGGGTTCTTAACGTGCACCCAAATCTAGGCACATAAGCCTCAAACATTTTTGCTGCCATCGAAAATACAGCCACCACAGCCCGGATTCAATCCCACGACCTTCGGGTTAGCAGTCGAGCGCTATAGCCACTAGGCCACCGCAGTAGGGCGCTCCATGTCTTCGGATTTCCATATGTTCCAATCTCTCTAAAATGAATTGCATGGCATTTCACTCCATAACAACATGAATTGCAGGCCTGGATGCACACCTTCTCCCAAACCACTCTTGGGATACTGACTAACTAGTTCAATATTAAGAAAAAGTTGTTAACAATGAAGAATTCATTATTAACTATGTTGTTATTTCTAGTTAAGTTTTTGTGGAAACATATGAACACCAGTGCTAAATGAACACCAGTGCTTATGGCACAATCCAATAATTGCATGCTTACAAGCTGTTGCTGAAGTGCTTCAAAGCAAACTTTGATGAATATATCCCTGCATTAATTTATCACTGCATCACACAATACTTCATGCCTTTTGGAGGGTGCAGCATAGACACTCACCGCCAATGTATTAGTAAGCATGGCTTAGTCCGTGGCTAGGCAGAAGGGGGAGGGGAGAGAGGTTGCAATTTAGAAGCAGGATAACCATTACGGTACACTTTTGACATTGAATTCGCACACTCCTCTAGTTTGATAGATAGGAGCCAATGAAAGCTGGAAAGCTAGGCTGAATGCTGCATCAGCACACGCTGGCACACTTCTTACCACCAGTTAGAACACAGACTATGACATTATCCTTGTATGATGCAGCAATAAAAAAAAACACTACTGTATATTCACCAAGGTTTAGCTGGAAGCTCAGATTAGAACATTATTTCATTTCTAGCAAATTTTTAGGCTTATTTTACTTTTTTTTATTTCCCACACAAATTTTGACACAAAATAAATGCTCCATTCTGAGCTCATATTATACAACAACCAGTTCCCATGTTAGCAATTAAAGCAATATTTAAATGCCAACCAATTATTACTTATTTATGACAAAAATACTTGTTATAAGTACCCAAAACTACTGTTAATAATATGTATTGGTACAATTTTTCTAAAGCTCTTTTTTTTTAATCTTGGTCCCAGTTAACTGAGATTGCCTTTATAATTCCATAAATTGAGAAATATGGGCAAACTTTGTATTGACATGTTCAATCTATCAACTAGCTAAATTTCCCAAAATCTATGCCCCCCACTATCTAAATTTCACAATTTCTCTTTGGGTCTTTTTAACTACGGTGCGACAATATTTTATTTCATGTTTACTGTGCCAGATTTCTAGCTGAAAAAGCACATATTCTGAATATTTTCAGCTAGAAAATATATCACTTTGTCAAAGAAGTGAACAAGCAACCTTGTTCTCAGCAGCAGAGCCACTGATCCAGTGTGCCAGGTATTTGTGCAAGGTGATGAATCAATGTCAACTTTACATAGTCCCCAGTTATACTAAGCCATAGTTAAGGCAACCACTCTACAGTCAATGACTTAGCAAGCACAAGGTTATTCATGCCACATATCATATGCTAATGAGCTTATGAGTGATCGAGTTGTACTTCTTTTTTACCTGACTACAAGCTAAGCAAAACACACATGAATGCATTCATAATGGAAAGCGTGTAACAAAACAGTTCAAGTGGCTTTGCAGTAGCAAGGAAGCACACAAGGTGGATGCTGCACTAAACGATTCCAATTACTTAAGACACCATCTTGCACATACGCTTAAATCTAAATGCAGCTAAGCATTACTGCATTTTGCACTTGTGAGAATGTGGCCCTAGTAGCCTGAATAGAGTTTGAAACCTTGTGCATGGAAGAAACATTGTAGTAGAAAGGCAACAAAGCAACTTGTGGAAACATGCATTCTTTTGTACATATCTCTATATGGTATGTCATGCCAACAAACCTTGCCATCACAAGCATCATGTCAATCATTTGCTCGCCAAATATATAGGTATTTACGCATGAAAATGGACACTTGATTGGGAATAATGAACTGGCCAAATGAATGATGATCACGTCAGCTTCATGCATAGCAGCTTATTACCTTCTTTACTTCGGCCAACTCAGGTACTGGAGGTGCCTTCATAGCAGGGTGATCATATATTTTTTCTACAAACAGTCTAGGTGAAAAAAAAAAATTGGGAAAGCACACGAGTAAATTGCAAGACGTGAACAAAGGTGTTATATATCAGAGCACAATAGTCAAGCTCTAACATCAAAGGTGACTTTTGCACTGGAATAAAAAGTGACATGCAAAGACTTTCTTGAGCCAACTGCCTCATAAAAAAAAAACACAAGTAATTCTTATGCCACAAAATGTTTGCAAAGTTGACAAATGGCATGCAGACATAACTTTCAATCATTAATGCATCGCAACTTTTATGGCTAAGCCTCCCTTACAATTGCAGGAACACTGTATAATAGTAATTTATCTCAGTGGAATACACAATGGACAAGCAAATATATTAGGTCAGAGGCCCATAGCACACGCCCACTCAACGCACCATGTTTTCATACTCTCTAGTGACTTGTGAATTAATTAATCTACATTATACACTAGCAGAAACAATTGATACATGGCAAAGAATCTTCTGCTATCAGACACCCAAGCCAACAGAAGATAAAAAATACTGCAAATTAAAAATCATCAATACAATAGACATGTGACCAAGGACGAAGCACTACAACCTTATATCTTTTCACATGGAACACAAGTGAGTAAAACTACATGGTCCATTGCTATCTGCACACCTTTGCAGTGAGCAGTGTCTTATGAAAAGATGTCTGCTGTCGAGAGCATTTCTCTGACGAACTCCATCAGAGTAATGCTCTTACCAGCAATTCCGTCCAAATACTACTCTCGACAGCAGACGGCCCACGACTAGATGGTGTAGAAATTAATTTCGGCCCCCGCTCTCGTGGTCCGTATACTTTTGCTCAGAGGTGTACACGTAATGTCATTCACAGCAAATATGATCAAGTGTTAGCGGCATTTTTGTTGCTGGGTGATTCCACGTAAGATCGAACGAAGCATGGCTGGTCGACCCCTTGAAATTTCTTTCAAAATTTTATATATTGTTGCCCGATTAGTGGACAGAAGAGACCCGTAATTGGTTTTACTGTAATAATTCGAAGCACAGTATATCAATAATGATGAAGAGGTAGGTGGAGTGTCATGCTTACCTGCTCTGCTGTTTTTTTTTTACTTTGGCGATAAATTACACAAAATATATTAAAGCTTTGTACCCAGGGGTGGGAAGTGGCCTTCAGTGTTTTTGAGCAGCTCAGGGAGCAAGAATAATGCTGTTTTGGAGCAGCTCAGGGAGCAAGAATAATGCTGTTTTGGAGAAGCTTTGGTGCAGTAAAAGAAGAGTTTAGAGCAGGTTCAGAGCACCAAAAAGTGTGTTTTGGAGCAACATGAGCTCATTTTAAAGCAGCTTTCTATAAAACATCATCGTCAATCAAAATTATTGCTGGTAAAAATTTCCTATGGTTTTCGCTAAACATTCAGTACTAATGAGCTTACCAAACTTGCCACCTATGGGCGCATGCATGTGTGCATGTGTGTGTGCGAGATACAAAACATGCACATTTCATACTAGCCTAAAAAAAAAAGAAAAATGTATTCTGGGTGGTAAAATCATGGAACTATTTCTATTTCTTTATGCAGATGTATCTACTACAAGGAGTCTCGCTATAGCCTCCGCAGCATTGTACCTGATGTGTGAAACGGAGTATAGGTAATCGCAGCACACTTCCCTTGGCGGAAGTTTGTTATTCCGACTCTAATCAAAACACACTACTCTGTTCACATGTGCTCGATCTGAAGCGAAGTAGGGACCAGCGATTCGCACAGGGAATCCACGCACACGGTATACAGCGAGCTGCCCGGCAGCGATGGTGTAGGCAGCGTAGGAGCCATGTTGCACGCAACTAACCAGGAGATGATCCGAGTGCAAGCGGCCACTTAATGTTTCAATCCCACTGCCAGTTGTCCCTCAGTATCATATTATAGTAGAGGAGTGCACATATGTATCGTGGAAAACCAATACTGTTCTTTCTGTCGCTATTTCAGTTGCTGCGTATCCTGGGCACTGTAATAGCTTTAAAATTCTCCTTAATTGGCGTTGCCACTGTGGGCAATAAAATAATCGTGCAAGAGTGCCAGCCCCATATGATATTTTCTGCACTCTGTCAGAAAGAAAGAAAAGACTTTCTGGTAGATAGTTTGGGCGACATCTGCTATGATAGTGTATTCCTTTATTGGTGGCCATGGGGCACATCAGTAGATGCCCTATTGCTCGGACTCATTTGGTCCATGATCGTGCCGCATTCCTGGCTGGTACAAATCGAGGATTCACTGTGCTACTAGAAATTTTAACTGCTACTCATGTTGGTGCCAAAATACAGCAATAATAGCTATGAGAGCCCCGCGAATGAACAAAATAACAACACGATCAAAGTCTACTGTATATAGATGCGGCCACGTCCTTGGTGTAGCCAATGCTCAGTGTTGCTCGGTCTACGATAATAATTGGCCAGATACGACGGTTTACACTTCCAATAATCAATTATCACGGACATTGCCATTTACATGCAGCCTGATGCAGAAGGTCACATTGGTGCAGAATGACGCGATTGGCACAGCACTTTCACACCTACGTACTTCATATTTGTTTAGCTAAATATAGGCGTGTTTGTACTTGTGTTGAATTATAATTCGATACTCTGCGTAGTTTAGAATTTTTAATAAAAATTCTCTAATTTGACCTAAAAAATATCTATTCGCCTAGTTTGCTGGCCTTTACTTCAAAAAGGATTTATGACGAAGCAGTAAAATCTCCGCACTATTTCTTCAGCATGCATACATATATATTTCTGAAAGTGCCAAAGCTTATGTTAATACAACTTTTCAATAAAAAGATATACCGTATTTACTCGCGTAATCTTCGCACTCGCATAATTCTTGCACCTCCACATCGCCCAACAAAGATACGATTTCTTTTTTTCCTCGAGTAATTATTGCACCCCCAAAAACTGCCACAATAATGTCGTCTGCTCGTTCCAGCCAGCGATGATGATAGCATGTGCCATTTAGCACCATCTCTTAACCATCAAGCGTACTATTTCACGAAGATTTAATCCAATCTAAGCCTAGACAAAATGGCCAGTGCGCGTTGCGGCGTGTTTTGTATGTTGTGTCGGTAATCTTGTGACGTTATGAGGCGATACTGAAGCTACATGGCTGCTTTCAAGTTGAAAGTGATAGATCATGCACTAAACAACGGCAACAAGGCCGCCGGTAGGCCCTTCGGAGTCCACAAGTTTTGTGTTCGCTACTGGTGACGCAGCTGCAAGCCACCAAGACGCGTTGGGCCTGCCGTGTGCCTAAATCTGGGATTGATGGTAAACTTTATTTCTTCAGAAGGAAACTGCGGATGATTCTGTTAAATAGCCATCAGCCCAATACTGACGTCCTACGCTTACCTTTTGAGGGCTCCTGTTGAGCGACGAACACTACCGCTACGCCCGCAACGTCCACAAGCTTTGCGTGTGGTATTCTAGTTCTCGACTATGTCTCAAATAAATCTTGTCTTGTGTTAAACCTCTGCTTTTATTGTTGAGGTAAGGTTTAATTAGTACTTCTGAAAGCTTGCTGTTAGTTGCTGGTGTGAGAATCCCGATTTGCGGCCACTTCATTCTCTTTTTCACTCTGTACGTTTTCGTAGAAAGTTTTCCCCGCGTAATTCTCGCACCCCCCAACTTTGCATCGGTTTTCCGGCAAAAAAAGTGCGAGGATTATGCGAGTAAATACGGTAATTGTGCTAACATCAAGAAAAGAGCATGCAAAGGAAACTTCTGACAACTAGAAAAAAAGATTTTAGATATTTTTAAACTTTATCCACTTATTCCCCTACACATCAGCTTTCACCATAAATAAAAACATGTTGCATAATGTGCTTTCACTTGCAGTTACGGCCCGTCAAATAATGCCCTTGCACAAGGTTAGACAATTGTAGATTAGACTTTCTGCCAGATGAGTAGAAAATGCTGGCCTATACTTCAGTTTTTCAAAAGGCAAGCAGCACTAAAATAGCTGTTAACTGCACTGAGGACGCCTATTTCGAAATGATTTGGTGACGGGAGCGGCCATCAATGTGCGATTACCGAGCAAGCAAGCGCACACAGTCCATGTTTCGGTGTGAAGAGGCCCATCGACTAAGGCCTTTGCACAAGACTGAGCACAACATGAGTCTGAAGATTGTATGAAATTTGTGATCGCATGTGGCCTTTCAATTCGGCATAATATTATTTTGAGTAATTATGTCTTGCCGCTGCAAATTAACAGTGATAAACACAGTAGTGAATGATTAGAAATCAGTATTGTACGCATGGGATTCATTGAAGCACTGTCCCATCAAGCTGTGATGTATAAGTCGATGACTATGCAGAACTTTATTGAATTTGCAATGAGCTTTCTGTGCTTCAAATGGTAGTCTGCAAAATAAATTTGCTAGGAGTTATTCTTTGAGGCCATAAAACGCAAAGCAGCAGAGCAAAGCACGAGCACTATAGGAGTCAAATGAAGTGCGAGCAGTGGACTGTGCGCATGGCCAGTACACGTCGTCTGCTGCCGCCACCTTGGATAGGCGAGGGCACCCGGTTATTTATAATTTGGGATTGGTTCGATTATGAAATGGCTTTTGGAGCACCGTCTTTATGGTTTTCACTGAGATCAAGTCGTGCAGCACATTTTCTCTAGCTAAAGCCCCTGTCACCCACGTGCAAAAGCGTCACTCGCAGCTTCCTGACAAGAGTTCTCAGGTGCTTCCCACCAAGAGAATGCAGTCAAAGTTCAACTTCCACATTGATACCTAGGAGTGTTACTTGTGCGGGCACCAAATGCTGTCGGGGAACTTGAGCTACAGACAGAAAATCTGTGACCTTGGCTGATTGCCTTTGTTTACACACCAAGTAGTGCGTTGAAATCCTGTCATCTCGGGACACTTTTGTTTAAATATACAAGTATGTATTGTAGATGTGCTTTTGTTCTCATTTACTTTGAACGCACAAAAAGCATAAACAATGCCTGCTATCTCTGCAATGTTAACAGCGCATG